TTTTTTTTTTCAAACTTCGTTATACGGGAGACCTACTTAACGAGGTGATAAGAGCATCGGTAAGTAGGACCCGGCGTCGAAGATCGGTTAGACAAGGAGATCCTCTGGCTCCCTTCCTCTTTGTCATCATCATGGAAGCATTAGGAGTTAATTTGAGAAAAAATAAAAACATTCAGCGGTTAAAGATAGCTAACCTTCCTAAGGATGCAATCCCAATTTACGCTATGTTTGCTGATGATCTGACAATCATGATGGAGACCTCTAAAACTAACTTTGAGGAAATCAAGGCATTAATGGATAATTTTTCAGCCTTATCCGATATGTTGGTTAACTGGGGGAATAAAACATTGGGTTGGTGGAACCATTCACAAGGAGTAAGGCCTCCAAAACTCCCTAATATTAAATGGGTCCCCTTGGATGCACCTATAAAGGTATTAGGAATAATTCTCACATCACAAGGAAAACCGAACTCTAATGACATATGGATCTCTTCTCCAGCGCTGGAAAAAATGAGGGTGTGGAAAAACAAACACACTTCAATCTTTGGGAGAGCACTGATAATTAATAATGTGGTTCTGGCATCAATCTGGTACAAGTCATTGTTGTGGCCTTTGAGTACGAAGCCCACAAAAGATATACAAATACAACTTGCAGCATTCCTTTGGAGAGAAGATCATGAGTTACCACATGTAATTCCAAGAGTTGCCTGGAAAACTTTAATCCAACCAAAGACCAAAGGAGGGATTGAAATTATTGACCCAAAAACACAGTGTCAGGCTTTGGCTCTCCAAGTTATAAAACGTTTAATCCTAACTACAGATATACCATGGTGGGATCTAGCACTAGAGCAGATTCGTAGATTAGCCCCTCAAACTACAGAGGAAGTGCATCCCTTGACATTGATAGAGGATAGATACTGGTCGATCCCTCGTACCCGAATGCATCAAAGTGACACAAGGGCGAGGGAAAGACTGGACGGATTTTGGGCTAACTTATTAAGGACCTGGCGAGAGATGCCCTTGCCAGATAAAACCAAACCTGAAAGATTTGAAGAAGTCCTACGACAACCACTTTTTGGTAATAGATGGATTACTAACCATAATGGCAGAGTCTTTATAAGCTCAGAATCACCTTGGTCAAATTGGGTCAAGAATGAAATAGTAAGAATAAATGATTTATGAGACCCAATAAATAAAACCGGGAAGACTGTGGAAGAACTTAGAAAAATGATTAAATATGCACACAATCTAATGCATAATTTGGAAGAAATGATGTCATTCATTCCTCTGGTTTGGACAGTGTTGCTTAAAAAAGGCACGGTTTTCCGAACAGCAGACTGGGTGTGTTTAAATCGTCAGGATGGAACCAAGACAATAGGACAAATTATGGATAAACACGAAGAAGGTGCCATGGTAAATATTTTTAAGATCCAGAAGGACAACAAAATTTCAAAAGAAAAACTAGACATGGTCATCTTCTCAGGCTTTGAGGAAATGTTCAGGATAAGAGCTATATACTATACGGAAAAAAAAAAGGTGGCAAATTTTTCTACCTCAGTGTCCCATACCGGAGCTTCCCTTAGATCCAGTCGAATGGGTATGGCGGCCAAACAAGAGAAACAAACCCTTAAAACTCCAAGCCTTGAGTGTAAAGGCCTCTTATAGGATATTGCGACCTAAAATAGAGGTGTCCGAAATAATACAGGATCGATGGTATAGACACCTAAACATAAATAAGGATCTAATCAAACCAGTGAAATGGTACAAAGATCTGAAGGAGAGACCAACTAAGTTTGCATCTTTACAATGGCAAATAATACATAGGTGCCTACCCTCTAATGATTGGTTAATAGACCATTCTTCTCTTGAGAAAAGGGTAAGGCAGTACCATGGTGCATATCTTGTGTTCAAGCCTTTCCAAGTAGGAAAATCAGAGAAACAATTGAGCATATCTTCCTACAATGCCCAGGCTCTGTATTACTTTAGAGACTATGGGATTATATATGGAAAAGACTAACAGGTCTGGATTGGTTATGAGAATGGAGGGCTATTCTTCTTGGGCACTGGAATCCTGTTATAATCGAACTATTGCAGTTTCAACAGAACTTATTCCATTTAAGTAGGAAAGCGGTGCTGTGGGCATTATGGCATAAAAGATGTATAAGAGTTATTGAAGGAGTTATAATTGAAAAACAGGAAACGGTGGATACAATTCAACAATTTATTCAATCTGAAATAAGATTTCAATGGGAAAAAACGAAATTCAAAATGATTGAATATAAACAAAAGAAGGATATCACACAAAGAATCATAAAATTCAGCTTGGAATGGTTAGGGGATGCATTAGGGGAGAAACTAGGGAAGGTGGAGTGGCCAGGAGGAGAAGAGGATCAGGAGACCTTTAAGTGAGATAACCAAATTATTTTCTACAACTGAGTGTTTTTCTGACCCTTTTCCTCCATCTGCTATGGCTCTAGTGGATCTGGGATGGTTTGGGGGGGAAGAAGAAGGATAGGTGATTTTGTTAGAAAGGTGGGATTTTATGGAAATAGATGCTAGGTTAATCTTTTTTTTCTTCTGGCGGTCATTTTTGTATGGCTGAAGAGGCATCTAGAGTTCCATGAATAGTACAACACCATTCTAGGATATGAGGATTTTGGATTGAGATTTTGTTCAATCAAAGTTATATGTAAGGGACGCTGAACCCGTTTTCCATCAGGTGTTGCTCCCCACCAATAGATCGGAGTTTTTTTCTTAAAAAAAAAAAAAAAAAGGACCCGGCGTCGAAGGCTCCATCTATTGGTGGGGAGCTACACCTGCTGGAAATCGGGTCCAGCGTCCCTGTACACTTATGAGCATGTGTCTGCTGGAAACCGGGTCCAACGTCCCTATACATTGATGTAACTGTATCAGAATGTATTAGCTGGAAACCGAGTCCAACACACCTGTACAAATCCACGAACCCCTAAGTTGTATGTGTACTATGCGTCTGATGTATGTGATGTTTATATTCTTGTTCTTGTAAGTATCAAAATCTAAGCACGAAACCCTAACCGTGATGTGATGTGATGTGAAGTGTATGATCTTTATCAGTTGTCAATCAAAACTATACCAGCGATATGATTTGCGTGTGATCTGTAAGCAGGGGCATTGATTACTTCCCCGCGCTAGGGAAGGATTGACCACCCGCACTCTAAATCCTAACCAGCCCCCCTCAGCACCCCATTGTTGATTGGTATTGCGAGCCGGGCAACACCAATCAACATCAATTAACGACACCAATCAACATCAATTATCCCATTCCCATCCTCAACCAGACGACGAGGTAAAAAAAAAGGGGGAGGAAAGGGGGGTTGCTCACAGAAAACACCAAACCCAACCCCTGCTGTAATCTATGTGCATGATGCCATTCGCGAGGGAGATCACCTATCCCACTCCTGCCCGGTCAAACGAAGACAAACCAAGCACAAAAACCGGGTAGGGGGGGGGGGGGACAACCGTCAAGCACACCTTCATTCCCTCCTCCCACCTCACCATCCCAAGCATACCGCACATTCTCCCCCGCTGCACCGATATTGGTGTTGCACGTGTCGCATCCTTTGTTATAGCAACCCATGTTTCTTCCCACGCTATTGTTGTTGTTGTATCTGTCGCTCCTTTTCCCCCGCCGGTGATGATGGAGTTTTCAGTCGTTAGCGTTGTTGTCGGTGTCACTGTTGCTGTTGTTATTGTCATCGCCGTTGTCGATGTTGTCATCTTCGGCGCCGTCGATGTTGTCATCTTCACCACTCCCAACTCCAGCACTTCCATTAGTACTGCCTCTGTTGTTTGTGACGGTATTTCTGCCGTGATTGTTGTTAATCCTTGAGCTGTTGCTGCACTTATTGGCGGTATCGGCGATGATGTCGCAGTAGTCCCCTTCACCAAAGCACTGCACTTTGCATCGGGCCCTTCAGTTATCCCTGGTTGATCAGCTGAAACAATTGTACCATCTCCCCGCCCAGCAGGAGAATGAACAAGAGGTAGCCCCCCATCCGCCCCTATGTTGTCCTCCTCCAACCACTCCTCCATTCGCCAACGCAGGTCACGCCCCTCCCGAAATAAAGCCTGACAGACTCCCATCTTTGCGTCTAGTCGTCTCCAATCAAGATATGCTTCAAACCGAGGATCCGGCCCCTCCTCCAGTTCCCACATAATTTCTAACATATCTTGACCTCGGGCTTCCAACCACTCATCCAGTTTCATCTCCCCCACAACAACCTTCGACCCCTTCTGCATCTGGCCCAGTAACACCCCCACCACTGCGTGCAGCTGCTGACATCCCTTCTCCATAGTAATCAACCAGTCATAGGCCCCTTGTTGTAGTTCCATAGTAGTCTCCATAGCTCCCCTGAGAACCGCGCCGCTTTTTCACCTAAAAAAAACAATCATCCACTCGCCGGCGCTTCCCCTGCCCACGTGTCGCGGCGCCTCCACAGCGCCAATCACTCAGTGCCACGTGGCTATTGACCAGCCTCGCCCCCCTGCGAGGCACGCGCGCAGGCCCAGCAACCCCAGGGTAATCACCCGGGCGCTAGTCGTGCCGGGACAATCGAACCTTGTCCGTCGGCCGACAACGGGGCGCTAGCACTAGCGCAGCGCGGTTCTCTCCCCAATGGGCTCGCTCCAGATCTACCTGCCAGTTTCTCCACTCTGGAGACCATGTCAACTCTCTTAGAACCCTGTGCCCTTTTTTTTTTTTTTTTGTTATTAACTTATTATGCTTTTTTTTTGTTATTATGTCTTTTTTTTTTGTTATTATCTTTTTTTTTTGTTATTATGTTTTTTACCGGACAACCGGACACTGATACACCCAACCGGACTGTCCGGGTCCGGCTGTCCGGCTGTCCGGCTGTCCGGCTAGATGTCCAGGACCATTTTTTTTCCGACCCCCTTTGTCCCAACTAATTGAACTTGACTCTTGTTTCACCACCATACCCCTCAGGGTACCCCTTCTTGTTCCACAACCTGCGATTCCTCTCCCACCCCCTTCCCGACACCTGAATCACGCGAAGATGATGTCAGTTTCCCCTCGGCCAACACCCAGCTCGCCACCCCTTACACCTTACCCCTTCACCTCCGCCAGAACCACCGTGACCCACGTCTTCTCCACCTGCACCCCCACTACCACCCAGCCCGCCACCGGACTCCGCCTGAGCCACCTCCGCTTTCCCTTCCTGTAACCCACCCTTGACTCCCCTTCCCCGATAGCTGGCCAACCAACGACTCGCCAAAGCTGACTCCGAGAAAAAAAAAAAAAAAAAAAAAAAAAAAAAAAAAAAAAAAAAGGGGGGGGGGTTAAAAAAAAAAAAAAAAAAAAAAAAAAAAAAAAAAGGATACATAGGGGAGTGTGCTTAGTAAATGGCCTCTACAACAACCTGGACTTTTGAAAGAAAAAAAAAAGAGGATACATAAGGGGGGGGAGGGGGGGGGGGGGGGAGAACAAAGGAAAAGTGCATTTCTTGCTGCAAATAGGGGTCTAGGCAGAAGGGAAGGAGTTGATTGAGGGAGCTGCCATGTTTCCCAACAAAGGGTCTCGCCACACGGCACACGAAACGAAAACGAAATGAGTGCTTCTGCCCACGAAAGGTGGCAAAATACACTCGTTACTATTTATAGCAAACCGACGAACCTGGCCATTTTCTGCAGGAAGACGCACTCGTTTCGTGTCCCGTGCGGCGACGCCCAAAACCAAATCAGTAGATCAGGTATGTCGGCTGGTGTCGCGGGGGTTGATACAAGCATCCCCCCATCCACGGGGGTAGATCAGTAAACCAGGTCCTGTCTATTAGTGGGGAGCAGCACCTGCTGGAAACCGGGTCCAGCGTCCCTTACATCTGCTAAAAAGTGTGGCTTGGCCGGGGCCATTACCCGCTTAGGCTCAGAAAACACTTTTGAGACTGGCAGGGGTTCCCCCTGGGCAAATAGGGGGGCCAATACGAGAAGCAATTGTCCTACCTAGCGGCCGAACCAGCTCAGCTCGACCAGGGTGTTGTGGGGGAAAGGAGGAGGCTGGTGGTCTCATAAGGTGGACCCAAAAAAAAAGAAAAAAAAAGGGGGGGGGGAATATGCGGCGGTCACAAAAACAGTTTGAAATAATTAAACTTCGGGCATTCGGCCTGAAAATGTCGATGAATAGAAGCTAGCTTTCCGGCCCGGTACGGTCAAGAGGGGGTGTGTTCAGTTTGGGGAAATGCCTGAAGTGCAATTTCAAACTGTTTTTGTGACGGCCGCGTAATTACCCGCCAAAGTAAAAAAAAACTTAATTAAGAAAAATTGTCGCCAGTCGCTGGTCCTGAATGTCTAATGTGTACGCTGTGTTCTTTTCATTCTTTTGGACTGGAGACAGAAAAGAGCGAAAAGGAAGCATCCTCGGATCGTTCTTCTTCTTCTTCTTTTTTTTTTTTTTTTTTTTTTTTTTTTTTTTTTTTTTTTTTCTGCACAAAATGGTTTGAAGAAGATCAATCTTTATTAAACCACCAGTACTTGGCCCAGCTGTCCATGTTGAACAGGCCGCCCCCCGGCGCGCCAAGTTTTGCCGAAGCGCCGGGGTATCGTTTCGATTTCTTTTTGGCAGGCGCTTCCAGCCATTGCGGTCCGGTATCCCGAAGCCCTAAAGGCGCGGCGCGTTAACGGGGAAGCGCCGCGGCCGATAACTGGGCCAAGTACTGGTGGTTTAACATCAAAGCCGGGAACCCGGTCCAGCGTCCCTTACAAAAAGTGGCCGCAGCCCTGAGAGCTGAGCGAGGCTCTCCGGCCAGGCAGGCAAAGCTCATGCCGCGACTGTGTCAAGGGCGAAAATCCTTCTTCTCTGGGGAGGCTCTGATGCAAATGCACATGGACCCACGCAGCACACCAATTCGGCCACCGCGTTAACAACCTAAGAACGTGGAGGTACTGGTGGTTCAATCTCTTCCACCAAGTTCTACAAAGTATTCTAACATCGGTGGCAGCGTCCTATAGTAACCTAACCTATCCAACTATTGAAGAATATGAACACTTTGCACAAGTCCTCAATAATAGCCTAAACTAGCATCCTACTATCAGAAATTATGAGCACGCCCACAAGTGTACAAAGCACTAATAGTATGCTCGATCACAGAAAAACCGTGAAAAAAGCAGACAAGGCACTCGACCTGGCTGGGGGACAATGCACTGTTACGAGCGAGTCCCACAAAAGCAGCCCAACGTGGAGTAAAGAACTGCATTGCCTTCCCCTTATAAACACCTTCCGCTGCACCCCATGCTCCCAGTCAGCCTGTATCGCTTGTTTAATGCCATATTTATTATTTACCCTCTGCTCGGACCGTTGGTGGCCTCAGCCTGTCTCCACGGCTGGTTGCTGAGTTCCTTAGTGTCCAAAGAGTCCACAGTATGCAAAACTTGAAGGCAGGAAAGGGAAAAGGCCAAGAATGCAACAAAGGGGGAAAAAAAAAAGTCCCCTTCCGTCTGGCCTCTGCTCGGACCATATTTAACCCCCCGAGTGTCTCTTCCGCGTATGTGAAACATTGGATGAGCCAGGAAAGGGAAAAGTATATCAATACTAACAGTGATGAATCAAGGTAACATCCAATATGAGAAGCAAGACATACACGACGGCAATGATCAAACACAGCACACCAACACAAGAGCAGATATCCCGAACGCGACTTGAATTTCGAAAAATAAGAGTGGAGCACAGAAGCGGAAAAAATTCCCGCATGGCGTGACGACCCGACCGGTTTCGCCTAGCCACCTACTAGGACTCTTCATGGGTCTAAAGTCGGCTGAAATCACCTGCTATTGACTAACTATATAGAGACTGAAAAAACTAGATGAAAGCAACCGAAGTAGGGAACCACAGCGAAGCCGGTCAAACACTTCTAGACAGCCGCGCAATCATATAATGTACCAAAACAAGAGATCAAAGCCAGCGTCGAAAATACCCTTCGTCAATCTAAAAACACGATCCCGCCTAAACTACTGCACGCAGCCGCGCAATCATATAATGTACCAAAACAAGAGATCAAAGCCAGCGTCGAAAATACCCTTCGTCAATCTAAAAACACGATCCCGCCTAAACTACTGCACGCACTAAGACCAAATCATCAATAAGGTACAAAAGGTACAACACGTGCCAGGACCGAATTCACCACAGGTACCAAGATCGAATTCACCACTCGTGCCAAGGCCAAAAAACACACCGTACCAGGACCAAAGAACCATCGTCACCACAGGTAGCGAGATCGAGACCAAAAAAACAAAAGACAAAACAAGAAACAAATAGGCCCCTACCGTGAACCATCGGGACCAAACRAAACACCCGGGAAAGCCYCCTAAACCGGGAGTAGCCAAAATCAGGCCCCCTTCACTTCACCATTCAGAAACCGGCCCCACTTCGTTAATAAAGGAATCCACTTTTTCCACAACCCTCCAAACTTGCTGGAAAAACTAACGAGCGCACAATCAAAGAGGTCATCAGGATACCCTCTCCTCCATAGCTCACACTTAAGGGAGAACAGAAAAGGAAACACCATGCCCTCCATCGACGAATAAGACTTCGCGCGATGCAAAAAAGAAGTGATCACCGCCATCTTTTGCTGACGGCTAGTAAACGAAACAAAATCCTGTAGACTCTGAAACTTGAGATTATCACTGACGTCACTTCTCTGGTTCTTTGTTAATGGGAAACACAACACCCCCGTTTCTCCTCGAAAAACTTTGAGAATACACCCAAGGAAATCCCAACAGCAACCATCACTCGTTTTCTCCAAGGTAAGATTATCATCATAACATTGCCTGAATGACTCAATGATACGCAAACCATTCACCTGAGAGTCCGCATCCCCTTCCTTGCATACCACGAAAACGAACACATCGTCAACGAGTCGAACACCACGAAACAATTTTCGGTCAACACCTAAGCTAGACAAGAAAACAAATTCGTTATAAGCACAAAGTAAACACGCGAGCGCCGGGCTTGAGGGTTTGCCCATAGGGATACCAATGTTCTGCTGTAACAGCCTTCCCGATGCAGAAACAAAAGTATGATCCAACTCGAAGACAACAAAACACAAAATAAGCTCGAAAGGAATACGCTTCCACCCATCCTCCAGTTTCCCGATTGATAACTTCGCCGCCTTACCTTGCTTGCGGATGATAACACCTTCAAATCCCTTTTCCTTCTAGTAATCAACTGCCCAACGAAGGGCCAAAACAATAGAGCAGTGAGGCAGATGAGAAAATATTTCCTTTATATCAAGGAAGCTCCCAAAACGACATTCTCCTTTGTCAACCCCCGATTGACTTCCTTTAATTTGGTCAACAGCTCACAAGCACTCCGAAGATTCAACTTCGAATGCACCGGGAAACTCCATAACATCGTATTCACACATCTGGAAATGATCTTCCCACCCACGGTCGAGCACTCCG